CTAAAGGCGCCTCTCTCATATATATATATATGTGTGTGTGTGTGTGTGTTTGTTTGTTTGTGTTTTTCTTATTTACATGCATAGTTTCCCACAAAAATCATCGCAACAAAGACCTGCTCTGGGTTCCGCCTCAAACACCTCAAAACACCACAAGCAGAGCCTTTCAAGCATACACATGCACATATACATGTTTAGAAGCCTTCGTTCACCGCTCCAGAGCACTCGCTGTTTTACCACTCGCGCAGGCACAAAGTGTCACAGCAGTCGATCAGCGAGGCGACGAAAAGCTGAAAGCATCCGAGGCGGGTGGAATGACCCACGAAAGTGAGCCACTCCAGCCCGCTGCTCCAGAAAAGGTCGTCGCAGAGTGCAGTCCAGTCGTCGCTCGACGGGTGGGCGGAAGGGCCAGAAAACTTCGGATCACATTTCGGCATCGAAACATGAAGCGAGCATGTTTAGAACCCTTCGTTCACCGCTCCAGAGCACTCGCTGTTTTACCACTCGCGCAGGCACAAAGTGTCACAGCAGTCGATCAGCGAGGCGACGAAAAGCTGAAAGCATCCGAGGCGGGTGGAATGACCCACGAAAGTGAGCCACTCCAGCCCGCTGCTCCAGAAAAGGTCGTCGCAGAGTGCAGTCCAGCCTTGTGACAGTACCAGCCGTGAGGCGAAAAGCTCGCGGCGCGTTCGCGAACTTGGTGACGGGCCACGGCGGCGAGGTCAGCGTCTCGAAGGAACACACAGAAAAGGAAAAACTTTGGCAGCAGAGTACAACAGCTGTCTCGCGTCCTCGCCTGCTTCGAGGATGCTGTTAAGGGCGGCTACCTCTTGGAGGTAGTAGCCCAAAGTCTGTTGATGCTGCAGCCGCATACGCCATTGGATGTCAGACACCGAAGAACCCCGATGGTATGCCCATACTGCGCCCCCGCCACGGAGCCCTCCGGGCGTCAAGAGGGAGTGGTTGCTCAAGCCGAAGGCTGCAAGGAGGAAATTCCATCTCGCTCGGTACGTAGCGGGGCCGAAGGGATATAGCCGATCGCCAAACCTGAAGGGAGTGTAGATCGCAGCGATCAGTTGAACTGGACCTGAGCTCCGCCGCGCGAAGAACTCTTAGCCTTGTCAAGCTTTAAGAAGACAACCTGCAGCTCAGAGAGGTGGTCCGAGGGCAGCAGAAGATGGGACCGTTCACATTTAAGAACCTCACCAATGCGAGCCAGGCCATAGAAGGCGAGCAGGGTGACGCCCGCCCACCTTCTGTAGCCTTTCGCCCATGCGAGCACCACTAGAGCTTGCACCACGACCTCCGGAATTGGCGTCCTGTGCTGTACGGGTTGAAGCCGCTCCCACCTTTTGTTGCCAGTTCCCAAGCCGGGCCCAAATGTCCACGGATGCTCCAAGACAGCCGTTGCGCAGCCAGGATGGCGTATCTGTAAGTCTGCAGAGAACCACCACTCTGGTACAGAAAATTTCCATACGAGCGCAGAACCATGGCGAGGAGCGCGGGGCAGCTAACGAACGACTCGACCGGATCGAAAGTGAGCGAAAGGGCGCACCAGGCGAGGAAAGAAGTCCAAGCGCGAAGGCCAAGGTGGTGAGAAGTGGAGGAGTACAGGGGCCGGGTCTCCAAATCCACACGGGGATCCCTCGGCCGAGGCGCACGGGGTCCTGGTTTTGAAGCTTCACCGATCCTGCAACAGTTCGGCAACTTAGCGCAGGCAGCAGGGCAGAGGGGGCGATCGGCGAGAGCTAAAGGCCAGGGCTAAGGCAGCGTAAAACCCTCTAGGCTTATCCTTCGTCAACCGAAGTCCAAGCCTTCCTATGAGCAACCGAAAAGCCGATTAAGCGTCGGTGGCCGGTCCGATCACACAATAGCCTGGCACCGGCCAATGATGTGTTCGTGAAGACACGAGTGCGCTTGCGCCACGGTGCGCCGAAGCGGCAGAGGTCAACTCTCCAGGTACTTGCTGCTGAGGGCGCGACGGCATCAGACCAACCGGGCAGTCGCCACCACCAAGAGGAGTCAGGGCAATCAACCCAAAAGCTGAGGCCGAGCTCCAAGCAAGCATCAGTCAGACGCCGAATCCAATCGGCACGAAGGTTGTCACGCACGACTTTGCTGTAAGTGGCCGGAGCAAGATGCCGCAGGCCGCTGGGCTCAGCTGAGGACCTTGTGCGAGGCAAGCAAGCTCGTGACAGCGAAGCCCCGTAGGGGCTCGAACAAAAGCCAAGGAAGGCCCGCTCTTGCAAAAGCCGAAGAAGCTTGCCGCGCAATTCAGGGGTGTCGAGGTCTCGTTCGTCAGAGCATCCACTGCGAAAGCACAGAACCCAAGGGCAGCCGCAAGCAATGAGCTCTCGGGCGCCACGGCCTCGCTCGGAGTAAACTTCTAGTGCACCCGGCCGGCTCAGGTCTGGGAGGCTGCCACGGTGTACGAAGAGCCGCAAAGGAAACTCGGAAAGCAGCTCAGAGATTGCAGGGTTCAAGAGCTCTCCGGAGCCGGGGGGTTGGGGCGTTGAGCGCCGGTCACGGCCCGATCGCGCTCGAGGCGCCGACGACATGAGCGGATAAAGGGGGCTTCACAAGCTTCGGCTCGTCGGCCATTGGCGCTCTGCAAAACGGCTGAGTCGATGCCGCCCAGGAGGAAGAGGAGCTCCTGATCAAAGTCATGCTCGCCCGGCCCATAGCCACTCTCCTTCATGACGCGGTCGAGTTCAGAGGGATCACCTCCAAGGAGGCGGAGCCACCAATCTGGCAGCTCCATCGACGGGCCTCTGACTGCTTTGCCTCTCGTGGGGTCGTCTGAGGGGTTCAGGTGACTAGGGAAGTAAAGGGGTGCCGAGTAGGACTGAAAACCAAGCACATCCGGAATCGACCTTTCCAAGAGCTGGTTGAGCCGAGGGCTCGCAGAACGTCCCTTGGCGACGCACCCGATTGTGACCTGACTGTCTATCCCAAACAGCAACCTCGAGCACGGCCGCCGGGCGCCGGAGCGCCGCTCCTCTCTGAGAAATGCATCGAGTTCGGCGACGTTTATGTGCACACGTGATTTGTACTCTCTGGACCAGAGCTCAGAGTACCTAGGGCATGCAGCGAGAGCACAGTACAAGGGTGACGCCCGGTAGCCTTCGTCGTCGCCTGGGAGCTCGTTCTGCGGCTCGAGGAGATCATGGCTGCGAAGCCAGGCGCTCTGCGGAGTGAGCAGGCGAGTCCATGCCCCCTTTTGCACACTGTGCCTGTAAGCTTCGTCGGCGACTGGCTGGGGTAGCGGTGCCCTGGCTGCTGCTTGATGGCTAGACGAGGCATCGGTGGCCGTCACTGAGGGCTCGACCTGGGCTCTGAGGTTCACTGCACACATCTGCCCAAGAAGGGCAAAGCTCGCAAGCTCGGCTCGGAGCTCAGGCGAAAGCCTTACTATGACATTCGGGTCACCAGCGGCTGCGGCCTGGAAGATGAGTGACATGGCAGCTAGGAGCCGCCTCCTCAGAACAAAGATTGAAATCCAACACCCCGCAAGGGATTCGAGGAGGTGCTGAGTGGCGAGGCCGAGCTCAACAGTGCGAAGCGTGACCAGCACGAGCGACCACAGTCGGTGGGCGTTCGGCTTCAGCCAGCCACTCATCCCGCACACGGTGACGCCCCAGAAACTAGCTTGCACCTGCTCGTGAAACACCTTCGAGACTTGCAAGGGCCGTTCGGTAGGCACGGAGGGCAGCATCAAGACGCTCTCGTCCAACGGAACGCTTCAAGCCGGTTCGGTGGGCCTGAAGGTCCGAAGTCAGCACACGGTCGAGGCATATGAGATCGTCTATGACCAGCCCAACGGTACACAAGCCTCGAGGAGGAGCGGCCCCGTGGACCAACAGCTCACCTGGCAGCACTACGCCACCCTTTACGCACACCCCAAGGTGGGCACACTGGGTGTATTCGCAGGCACCACAGTCGCCCATAGCCAAAGAGGCGAAAGCGATGCGGAGAAAGCCGTCGGGCTCAAGGTGCTCCTTCATGTCACGCCTGAAGACAAAAGCTGCTTGCTGCAAGGTAAGCTTGTCGGCTATCATGTTGCGGCGCAGCCTATCTTCACCAACCTGGAATTGATAAAAGCACTCACGCAGGTCAGCACCGCTGAAAAGGAGGCACCGATCGTCCTCCAACACCAGATTGCTCACGGCAACCGCAGAGGCGAGACTCTTTGTCCAGACCGAGGCTCCGAGTTCTAAGCCATTAGCAGGTCTCGCGTCTAATATGAGTCTATCACGGTCCTGGTCTTTCCCCACCACGAAGAGGCCGGCCCCTAAGTGCTCCCGGCCCCGCGGGAAGCGTGCAGGCCGAAGTCTACCAGTGTCGGCTAGCGCTCGATACAGCTTCAGCTTTTCAGAAGCCCGCCCGAGCACCTTGACACGAGGAGGGCTTGGACAGTCACAGGACTGCTGAGCATAGGCCAGGGGCCGAACATAACGGTCAGCTGTAGCTTCGTCCATGAAAGGCTCAGGCGAGAACTGAGGAGGGCCAGGAAGCTTTATCCTATCTGCCACGATGGGCCGCGCAGTGGTCGGGGCGGGTCCATCAAGGTGCCCCACCACTTGCCCGTAAGAAGGGAGATCAGATCCCCCTGCACCGAGGGAGCTGCGAGACAACCCACGGGTTTGGTGCTTTTGGCCCTCCTATGTGGGGGGCCATGAAAAAACGGGCTGGCAGCGTGCTCAGTGGTGAGAGAAGCCGGGGCTCCAAGGTAGCCTCCTGCGCGGCAAAGCTGTCAGCAGCCCTGCCCAAAGCTTGCAAAACATCCGACTGGGATTCAACCTTAGCTGCGTGCCGACCGAGATCAGCTGAAGAAAATTCAAAGGAAAATGCGTGCCGAACATAGCAGCCTCCAGCCGCTTGACACATCGCTTCTGATGCCGGTTCAAAGGGACTCCGGCGAGGGCCTCGGCAGGGCAGCCGGCGGGCTTGCCTAGGTACAACCATGACAAGAGGGCGACTGCCAGGCTGAGGGCTTTCAGCTTCCAGCTGCTTCGGCCCGAAGGCGCACGGAAAACCTGAGGATGCGGGATAGGCATGGGCCAGATCAGGCACGTCGGCGCGGTTGCGGCACCGTCTGCGAAAGAAGAGCGGAGAAATGAGGAAAAAGCGCCGCCAAAACGCAACAGAATCCGCGGCATTGAATTCAACAGCCCAGGCACAGTGAAGGAAGGAGCCCGGGAGCCGGGAGCAGACGGCTGCTCAGGTGCGTCACAAAAGGTGGGCTCACCGCGCGGTGCCGAGCTGGCGGGCTGTTTCATGCAGTCTTCCTGGGTCGCCGGCCGCCTTTCGGAGCAGTGGGCTCGGCGTCGGGATCGGCATCTGTCCGAGGCGCAGGCGGGTCGTTCCGACCGAGCTTCGCCCTCTTTTCGAGAAACTCTGCCTGCTATTTGAGGTGCCCGATCGCAACCTCTGCCCACCTCGGGTCCAACAACCTGCTGTACACTTGACCTGTGGAGTGGTTTTCGTGTTGCCGAAAGCTGTGAAGTGGCGGTGGTACTTCGAGGGCCAATTCCGAAGCCAGCACAAAGGAGCCTCTGTCGATGCTCATCTGATCGAAGATCATCAGCCCCAAGTTGAGCCTTGCCCGTGCTTGCTCTGGGCGATTGGTTCGCAAGCAGTCCAAGGCTCCCGCCATGAGCCACACGGCCCACACCGAGGATGGAAACGCGGTCACCTTCGACCTGTGTTCGGCCCAGGCTCGGGCTGAAGTCTGACCGGGCACAGCAATGCCGGGCGAGACGGAAGAAAGATCTTCTGACATAAGGGCCTCGATTACACTGCTGATTTCCGATGGAGAATTGACCAAGGCAGCTGAGTTTCGCCGGGCCGTTGGCAGCGATGAGCCCTCTGCTGACCCACTGCGGCTCCATCGAGGGCCCGATCCAAGGTCGAGGCTTTCGTCCCACCCCGCTGCATAGACTCCACTGCTCGTACAAGAGCGCTGGCAAAGATCTCGGCCTGCTGTGAGTGGGGATCGAGGGCATCGGTCAGGGAGGCCCCGGCTGCTTGCACAGGTCCAGATCCGGCGGGGCCGCCAGCGGGCCCATCGACCTCCTCCTCCGACTCTTCCAGAGAATCGAATCCCGGTTCCGGCTTCAAACGCCCCGACGCTGTGCGACCAACTAGAGCTTGCATCTCGGCGAGGGCTTCTTCGGACACTCCAGCGGCCCGGGCTGCTGCAAGTACCGATGGGTCGAGCCCCGGAGCTGCAGCTCCAACCTCGCCGTTCGGACGATTTCGAGCAGCCTTGGCCCTTGCCTTGGGCTTTCCGGAAGGCGGCGGCTCTGCATGCCCTTTCAACTCCACACGGTTCGAAACCGCCTTCTCGAGTTTTGCCAAGCGCACACCAATGTCGTCGGGCTCGGCTGCTTTGCCACTCTCTGCAGAAGCGAAAGCGAACATGTCGGCTGAGGCGGCGACGAGGCTGGGCACAAAGGGCAAGCAATCCTCTCCGGTGTCGAGCCGACCGAATCCAATGAATCCCTCCGGCAGCTCTTCGGGCACAGACACAGCAGCTTCGGCATGAGCATCCAGGATACCGAGCCATACTCGAACACGGGCGCCCTCCACCGGGTCGAGCCGAGCCGCCACAGGGCACGCGGAGACCTCGGCAGCTCTCACTCGGGACAAAAATCCGCGAGGCACCGTCCGTCTCGAGATGGTGCGGTGCCAGCTGGAAGAGGGCACAGCAACCACCAGCTTGCCGTCGACTTCCTTGACCACTATCACAGAAATGAGCACTTCGCTGCCGTTCTCGGCAGTACCGCACTTCAGAATCGCAACTGGACATTCCTTATCCTCAAACCCTTCCCCGCACGCCAGCGCATCCCTGGCAGTCAAAGGAACTCCTTCTTCTTCCTCGGCCATTTCACCAAGAACTGGGCAACTCGAAGCCACCCGCGGCGCAAACAGCAATCACGTCGCCTCGCGAGGGGAGGCCGATGCACACGGAATTTCCGAGGTCTGTTCCTCGCTCCACCAGGTCCTTGCAATCACCGAACCGATGATAAACTCTGACAGGGCTAAAGGTATCACCTGTGTAATCCTTGACCACGACCCAAAACCTAGAACCCCCTGGCAACCGTTCACGACCCGAAGGACCCCGGTGCTGACCGTCGGCTGCCCGACGCAAAAACAGTCCGATCTCCCTGCAAGCAGCTCCGCGGGAGCGTGGAGTCAGAGCCGCAGCTCCGGACACAGGCGCACTGGCAACAGAAGGCGGGGTAGAGGCTCTAAACCCAAGGGGGGATGAGGAAGGCTGGCGAGGTTCGGGACTAAACCCTAGGGTAACCTGAGAGGGTTGGGCCTGGCTAGCAGCTGAGGAAGGGGCACCAGGGTCACTGACGATATCAAACTCCGCGTCTGGGCCTTCGACCCTCAAACTGAGCGCCCTGAGTGCAATTTGCAGTTCGCGCACCTGCTCTTCCAAGGCAAGCACGCGATGGGCCAAGCTCATCAAAGGAGCCTGTAAAACGCAGCAGAGCCAGCGGAGAGCCGGCGAGCAAGACACCTCAGCAGGGCCGTGCGCAGAAGAAAAAGGAATTCGAAGAAAGGCCAGAAGGCAAGGCCGATGAGGACACCGATGAGCAGGGAAGGCAAATGAAAGTGCCCCTCAAAATCCACGGGGCACACAGGCAGAACCGTGTCAAGTAGAGGAGCAGCTGGAGGAGGTGCAGAAGTCAAATGATGCAGAAGATGCACGATCAATCCGGTCACGGACGACGTCCCGACGACAGCACGGCTACTCATACGCTGGACCCAGAAAACTTCGGATCACATTTCGGCATCGAAACATGAAGCGAGCATATATACATATATAGATAAAGTTGTATACAAATATAGATATATACATATATGTGGATATTTTTCTAGCGAGCGCAGTGAGCTCCCAACAGAACCTGGTATCCGATCAATGCTTTCACAAGCATGCGGCTCAAAGCAACGGCACCACGTCAACTGTGATGAGATTACCTCGTGTAGTACCTGGAGAGGCTGAGAGCCTTTCTGTGCAAATATGTGTGCATTTGTCTATTTATCTATTAATCTATCTATTCATTATTATTTTGTTTATTTATTTTAACTATGTATGTAGTTTTTAATTATTTGTTCTTATGTGTATATGTATACATACATATGTATATATTCATATCTATATATATATATGTGTTTATTTATCATTTATTTATTTTATGTATATTTATATGTATTTTTTTGAACGCAGCAGTGCAGCATGCTGCAACATTTGCGTTCACACCCGTCCTGCCTGGGCCCAGCCGCGTACTCCCGCAACTTCTGCGGCTGTGCGCTTCCTTCGGCAAGCGGGAGGTCTCACCGAGCCGACTTTTTTCTTGGTGTCTGGACCTCTGACTCTGTGGCACCGGGGCCCCGTGCTCGGCGTTGCGGGCCCACGGATTGGCATATGCGGCAATCAGCACCGGGAGGACATTGACCTCGCCGTGAAATCGAATCGTGTATTGGGAAATGCCCCTTAACGCCCGTAACATGCCAATGCGCCTGACCCAGACCGGCGGCCTCGTGCAAAGGTGTATCGCCCAACCTCAGGCTGCAGAAGATCCCTCGGAAAGCTTCCAAGCCCTCCCAAAGTCACGGACATGTTGCTGCCGTCCACATTTGCGCCAGCCTGCTGGACTTCGGGCACAGCGCCTCTAATCCGCCTTAGCCTGAAAACTTTGGGGGGCGGCCTGCAGGAGAAGCTGCACTGCTGTCTGGTGGCCGTAGCGGCAGGCCCAGTGTATCGGCGTGGAGAGGCCCTGGTCTGGCAAGTTCACATCCGCCTCCGAAACACGCACACTGAGGGAATTGAGGAGCTTCAGCAGCTTCAAGGTCGCAGTTTAAGAAGACAGCTTTGAATTTTGGGCCTTCTGGTGAAGCAGGTGAACTATAACCTGCGCCAAGGAAGAACAAACTGCATCCTTGCACGGCGTACGCATTATATCCGGCCCTTCAGCTGAGGCGTTCTGCTATGTTACTACATGCTCCCAAGCTCTTGGCACCTGCCTCGTCCTGCCCAGCCTTTACAACACACGGCAGCAGACGGCTCTCGTCTTCTCTGCAGGTGCAAATCACGGCAGCGCTGGGGTCTGCGCCGCTGCGGCGTTGTGGAGGGCCGACCGCCCCTGTGAGGCTCTGTTCTCTCTAATATACTAGCGTATGAATATACATATACATATACATA